ATCTAGTTTAATTAGTAAGTTTTTGAGTTATAAGCCAAGTCCTTAGGTGTGGAAATATTTTTGTCACCCACCTGTATGACCTTTAGATAATACTGTATTATTAACTAAATAATATTATTAGCCATATTTACTGCTTAATATAAACTACATTTATGCCTATTTACCTAAAAATTTAATCTTTATAATATAAAAATTCAAGTGTTAAAGTTAAACTTAATCAACATTATAAGGTTAGATAAGTTTGATTATGATCACATATTTATCTTTGGATTAATTAATAGTATAGAATCTATATCATTAATTAATCCAAAAATAAGTATGTAATCATAATCAAACTTACCTAACCTATTGATATTAACTAAGTTCAACTTTAACATTTAATTTCTTAAATGAGCAGTTAATAATAATATTCAGTAAGAATTTATAAAAACTTTTATAATAATTTATATAGTACAAGTGAAAAAAAATAAATAATCTATATTTAAAGAATGAGATCACAAACTATTTACTAAATTTTTTTGTAAAATTTAAAAATTTGCTATATAATACTAATTATATTACTATTTCTTTTAGTAACAATATTTATAAAACAGTTTCTGAATTTAGACAGATTTGTTTTGGAATTATTTGGTTTTTTGCATTAGAAAATAAGCATTTACTTGGCACTAAAGTGGCAGATATGAATAAGTATTTTTTTGCCAATTTGCTCAAATTTAAAAAGTCTTTTTCTCATTCTTTCTACCAGACTAAGAGCTAAGAGGCAATAGGCACTTTACTAATATCTAAATATTTATCTAGTTCATTATTAGATAAATTATTATTATTATTGTTATTATCAAAGATTGAGATAATGTAATGGTTAGTTAATGTTATATTAAAAGGTGTTGTTTGTATAGATGTTTTATCAATAATGTTATTAAATTCTTTATAGCATACTCTAATCATTTTTTTCTATAAATCTTCAGGCCAAGAGTGCATTTTCTTAAGCCTTGAATCTAGTAACCTTGCTAAAAGACTAGTAAATTGTGAATTATTTCAATATTTTTCAAAGCAAATTATAAATAGCTTGCTTAACCAAAGCAATTGTTAATTAAATATCAAAAGTATTTTAAGTATAATTTTCCTTTTTATCTTTATCTTTACTATCACTACCTATATTTAATTATAAATGATAAGTATGATTATTAATATTTTATAAATTGATATTCAAAGAAATTTATAGCTTAAAAGAAAAAAATAATTTACTATATTTTTCATTAAGGTTATTATTAATTAAAGGCAGATTTGGATCTACTGAAAAGTTGAATTTTAAAAGTTTAATGCTAGAATACACAATTGATAATGTAGGATACTTTTCAGTACTAAATGTTTATATTACTTTGTCAAATTACTCAAAAGGTTTAATTAGTTTTTCAATTAACTTCTATTTATTTTCATTAGATAAGTAATGTTTAAGTTTTTATCTATTTTTTTTGTTATTTAAATTCTGTAAAATATTTAAATTGGCTTCTAACTATATAATTGCATCTTTTAATTTTAACAGCATTTCCAAAAACCAATATTTAGAATTTCATCATGTTGGGAAATTTTTAATAAGACAAAAAAGTTTAGATTTAGTAATTACATTTAATTGTTGTTCTGAATTAGCATTATATCTATTATTAACTTCACCAGCCTTTTTTTCTTCATCATTTTCCTCAAGACTGTCTTTAGTATTGATTGAACTAGATGAAAGTAAATTATCTCTTTCTACTACTTTTATTTGAGCCTTCTCTAATCTTTCTTATTGTTTTGGCAAATCAAAAAAATGAACTAATTTTCTTATTTTTTTTGTTTGTAATATAATTTTTTGTAATAAAAAATTAACTGTTAATTGTAAAATGTGCACAACACACAGAAGTTGAATAACAGTATTCCATAATTAAATAGCTTTTATCATATTAGCACCATTATCTGTAACAGCATATACAATCTTATTTTTAAGATTAAATTCAGTCATTTTTTTAAAAGAAATTGATAAATGGACTCAGCAATATGAGGGTATAGCAGTTTTTTACAACACAATAATACACTATATAGTGACTAATTAGAAGTTATTTAGTGACAAGTAACTCTAATATAATCTTGATTATTGTATGAAGTCTATAAATCAGCTGTTAATGTAGCAGTTTCACAAGATAATGCAATTTCATGTTTAAGAAGATAGACATTTTTTAAATAATTTAATGATATTTTATTTTTTAATACATTATTAGAAGGCAGGCAAAATTTTGGATTGATTCTTGCCATCATTTGGCAAAATCCTTTTTTTCTTGATGCTGATAAAGGTTTATTGTTAAGAAGAATCCATTTTACAACTCTTTTGATTATTTCTTTTCATCTTTCATCTTCATATAGAGTATTGGATTTAAACATTACTGATAATGTAGTTTGTTATGCTTTTTGTATTTCAGATTTTAGCTTTTTGCTATTTATGATATTATATAATCATAAATGGGTAATTATATTTGATATTGAATTATCATAAATATATTCTCTTTCAAATTTTTAGAGTTTTCTATTTTTTTTAATTATAACTTAACATACATCTTTTGTTCCAATTACTTTGAAATGCATTCACACAAAACTTGATTTACTTTTGCTTTTTTTCTTTTTAGTACTTTTTAATATGTTTGTAAAAGAAATTGTATCATTGCTATTATTATTACTATTGCTTTCATCAGTGTATATATTTTTTTAAAAACTTGTACTAAATTCTTAAGAATCCATCTTTGCTTTTATTTGAATGCTAGTATAAATATGGTTTAAAATATGATGAAAGTAATATGTTAAGAATAAATATGAATCAACTTTACAAGTAATAATATAAATATCATATATTGAAGATTAGATTATATTAATAAATACACAATATTTAGAATTTAAATATATTAAATAATTATTTATTAGATTTCAGATTTAAATTCTGAAGTTTTTATTCAAGTCAAAAAACATAGTTTAAATACATTTTTTAAGACTAAATTTTATATTTTTCATTATGATTTTCTTTTTACATTTACTATTATGTCTTCTTAATAACAATAAAAATAATTATCTTCTCATATTAAACTGGTTGGCTTTGAATACTTATTGGACTTATTTAGGTAGAGCTTAAGAATAATTATTTAATTACTATCTTTATGCTATATAATTATGCTTTTTATATTTAACTGGTTGGCTTTGAATGCATGTTTACTTGTTTAAAAATGATTTAACTATCATGCCATTTGACTCTGCATAATTATGTAAATTAGTTGGCTTTAAATGCATATTCAACTTATTTAGACAGGTATAAAATGATTATTTATGCAATTTTATTCTTTTAGTGATCTGCCTTGGCCAAGTAATAAATAATTATTTTATATGGCATAATAATTAGATATAGAAGGATATTTAACTCAATACATATAAAATAATAATTATAGCAATAAATGCTAATTATATGATATTTCAGAAATGTTACAAGGATTTATATATGTAATTTGTAATTGATTATGTACTAGAACATATATTCTTAATCATAACCTAATTGATGAATGACTATTAGATTTACAATAACTGAAAACTGTAAGATAAATCTAATTTGAAGAAAGCTATTACTTGCAGCATATAGGATAATATTGCATTATTATTATGAAATTAAAATAGGTAATGTTGTCAAGTGATACAGTAAGTCAATTACTCTACAATCCAAATTTTTGTATAATTTACAGTTGGCTTAGTTGTAAAGAGGCATTTAGATTTGGTTAGTGGTTTGGTTTTGTAGATAAGTATTCTTCTTTACTTTGTTTTGAGTTTTTCTTTTCTTGAACCTTTTACTAACTTTATCTTTAATTACCTCACTACTTCAAATAATTGAACACAATGTATAGCCTCACTATTCTTTGTCTTTTAGGATAATAAAACAATACAACCACAACTATCCACAGTCCTTTGGAATAATTAAAATAATATAACCATGGCTGATCCTGGTACTTTAGGATACAACAGCCAAATGGGTATTTAACAATACTATAAGATAAAACAAACAATTACAAGAATTAGGTTTTATAGTTAAAGATTTAGCAAATATTTAATGTAGCAAGGGAGATATTTATTTATTTATTATTATATAAGAGGTTAGTTATTATTTTAATAAAGTAAAGGTCTTTCTTTTTTTGAAGCCTTTACAGCCTTTATTTATTTTAAAATTTTTTATTTATATTTGTCATTATATATCTATATAAGAAAAGGGTATGCAATCTTATTTTAACTATTTTTTTTATTTGTTATATATTTTTTAGTTGTTATTTTTGGAAACACATTATTATTATATTATTAATTAAATACTATATATATTCATCTATTTTATATTTAATCTAAACCATATTTATATCTACTTACAAAGAATTAACTTCTATAATGCATAAGTATTAAGACCTTTATTATTAAATCTATATAAACTTAAATAGTACAGTATATATATATATAAAGTCTTTAAGGCAATACTTGCACTAAATATTGTAACTATATATCTCTTTTAGTTGACTTTTCCTGGTAATACATAGCCAACATAGTTGGTAATAATAATGTTTTTGATTAACTCTTAATTTATACAAGATTATAGTTTTAAAAGTACTTATATCAACTAGCCAATTAGTTAAATGTATATTTTTATTCTTTTACAGATATTTAATCTAAGTTACTCACTAGTGATAATTATGACCCAGTTAATAGATATTATACAAATTACTCAGGTAACTCTTATTCAGGTTCAATCTCTAGTTTTTCAATATATAATAGATATTTAATTATTATTTTTAAAATATCTATGAATTTTGCTAATACTAATAATATTATTATTGTATATAAGTAACTAGAGCTTAAGTTTTTTAGAGATGTATTAAGAGTTGTAAGCAAAAGAATCATATTAGACCACTAATAGTATAAAAAAATATTCTAAAACTATTATTAATAATTACAGTATTTTTCAGATAAGTAAACCAAAATGGTTTGTATTTTTTAAATAGCTGTACTAAGCAAGTTAAAAGATAGTTTTACCAAAATAAAGTAGTGTTATCTGCAATATAGAATTGTTCAAGATATAAAATATTAAATTTTTTAAGTTAGTAATCTATTGAAAATATAAGATTAAAATGAATTCTAATAGTTGGAGGTTGTATTATAAGATATTAAACCAAGATATACTATTGTTAACTGTTATAAACATATATCAAGATTGGAATGATGAAATTATGTATTGTATAGTTATACAGTAATTTAAATAATGTTCATTCTTAAAAACTCATAAATGATTGAATAATGCATCAAATGCACTTAAATTTCACAATATGCACTTAAATTTTACAATGTTACATCATCATATTAATTTTAACTTGCAAACATTATTAAACTTGCTTTGTAAAAAATAACACAAATTTCTGCAATCACAATTATCAAATATCATTAATTATTTAATATAGCTAAGCAAAAATATTTGAAAGCAATCAGATTAGGCATAGAAGTGCAATCATTAATACTAATCAAAAGGTCTATTTATATAATAGTTTACAAATAGCATAATTTGCATTCTTGATATCTTTATAAATAATATCTCTAATTACATCAAAAAAACTAATTCTAACTAAACCTGGTTTGAACATTTTTTCTAATCAAGCATGCAGATTATTTAAGGCAATGATTTAGCAGAAACATAAGGTCAGAAGTATATAATAATTAACTGCTTAATTTAGAACTATAATATAAAATATGTAATTCTTAATAATATCTACATATATTGTAAGTAGTTTTGCATAATGTGAACAGAGGTCATAAGAATTCACATTAATATAAAATCTAATATGCATATTGGCTAACTTATTTTTTTAAAAAAAAGTACTAAACACAAGTTCTTATATATGATTTTGTCTAGCCAATCAGCTAATAATTAGCTGTTTTTGTTTTTTTTAAGTGTTTCATTTCTAGTTTTGTGCAATAACATCATGCAGCTATCTAGTTAATATATATAATGAGTTAAATAATTTTAAAGTTTAGATTATATCTATTAGGTCTATTAATATTAAATTAAAAATATTAAAGTATATTTGCAATAGACTAAAATTTTTTTGTAGCTGTTTAGTTAAATATATATAAAAATTTCTAGTAAGTAAAGATGTTAATTTGTAAAATAAAATTAGAGATATGATGTTAAAGTTGAATGTTCTAGATATTGTGCATATTATATAGAAATAAATTAAGCATAGTGTTATTTGAAATTGAATAAGCTAAATGAGATTTATGTTTAACTACAGTTAGATATTTAGCTAAAATTTTGTTGTATACAGAATAAAAAAAGATTATATTATGTATTTAATATTCTAGTATAAAAATAATAACTATATTAATAATGTAAATTATTTGTTTGTAATTTTTTTAGTACTAGCAATGTATGTAAACTGAAATATTTTTTTTCTTAAATTCATTTAATTTGTACTTTTTGTTTGTTAAATATAAACCAACAGTTAAGAAATTTAAAGAGTTGGTTGGTTAAAATAAATATAAATATAGAATTGAAGAATTAGATTGTAGTTTAAGATTGATTAAATATAAAAACAGATTTGAAAAGGTTAATTTGAATTTTGACTATTTGATAAAAGAATGTTATAGTTTGAAGTATCTGTTCAAGTTCTAATTTGAATTGAGATATCCAAAATGTATTATTTATATAAACTAAAACAGAAATAATATGTTAAGGCTTTGGGTTTTAAGTAGAAAAAGACTGGTTAACAATTTGTAGATAGTATATAGCCTTTATGCTGTAATGCAATTTTGTGAATAAGTAAGTTATAATAAATTTGTCAAAAGAGCAAAGTAATAGTTTCACTTTGGTCTATTTTATTTTTAACTAAATAAAATTAGTAAAGCTGAAGTCTATAATTATTCTATTTTGATAGTCTGTAAGTAAGTTAATAAGTATATTAA